CTAAATACATGAAGCGGGACAGTGGAATGAAGCGGGGCGGTATAAATGACACAAACGAGACACAACATTAACCCTGGGGGTGATAATCACTGCCCCGGAGCCTCTTTTGGTAAAGCCATTAAAAAAACAATTCCCCCGAAGGCATCAACAGAAACAGAAGAAACAGATAGCTAAAAGTTTTTAACGTAAAGAGAGATGAAGATCTTTAAATATTTCTTCTATGCTTAGCCCTCTTCAGGGCCTTTGTTAAATAGGAGTGAAAAAACCGGATTTCTTTTCAGAACATCAACTCATTCCCTTAAGATTAGTAATCCAGGATAATCCCAGAAAGGTTAGCAGTGGGATTTACTTTCGTTAGGAAGGAGGAACGCTGTAGAGAGCTCGATTTATGGTGTGTTTGTGAGAGAATACTGTTGATAAGGGAAATAAATAACTTTGGCTTATTCTGGGTTATCTTGGATAATTTACACATGTTACTATATGTGATAATTGTACTTATGTATACCTGTGCCTAAATAAACTTACACATAGGACTGACTGGTTGAGGGTGAATGTTGTGGTAATAGGATTGAACTGTTCGTGGTGAAGGTAATGGTGATTGAATGCTTGAGGGTGAGGCTAAGGGGGAGTTGAGAAGACTAACAGAAGCTTCCTTGTTGACTAGTATATTGTGCTGATTGTGGAACAGTGAAATGAGAGCAGGTGTGTGCCAGGTAAGTGTAGGGTTTAAGTGCACCCTGGTGGAACGAAGTGGTACCCTGAAAGTGGAACTTGGTGGAACAGTGCGGCTGACTGCAACTGCTGATGCAGAGAGTGCAGACGGCAGTGCAGGTATAAATACTGTTGCAGAGTGCTAAGTGCTTGCACTGAGTAATGATGTATCGGTCTGTAAGATTTAGGTTAGATGTAGGATGATAATCTTGGGAAAGGATTCCACCAGGTTGTCGTAGCTAAAATTGAAACCCACTCACCTAATCGTCGATCTTTCACCTTTGTGTGTGTACTCACCTATTTGTCGTTGCAGGGGTCGATTCATAGCTCCTGGCCCCGCCTCTTCACTGATCACTACTAGGTCCTCTCTCTCCCTGCTCCACGAGCTTTATCATACCTCGTCTTAAAACTATGTATGGTTCCTGCCTCCACTACGTCACTTGCCAGACTATTCCACTTCCTGACTACTCTATGACTAAAGAAATACTTCCTAACATCTCTTTGAGTCATCTGAGTCTTCAACTTCCAATTGTGACCCCTTGTTTCTGTGTCCCCTCTCTGGAACATCCTGTCTCTACCCATCTTGTCAATTCCTCGCAGTATTTTATATGTCATTATCATGTCTACGCTAACCCTCCTGTCCTCCAGTGTCGTCAAGCCGATTTCACTTAACCATTCTTCATCGGACATTCCCCTGAGCTCTGGAACCAGCCTTGTTGCAAACCTTTGCACTTTCTCTAATTTCTTGACGTGCTTGACCAGGTGTGGGTTCCAAACAGGTGCTGCATACTCCAGTATGGGCCTGACGTACACAGTGTACAGTGTCTTGAACGATTCCTTACTAAGGTATCGGAACGCTATTCTCAGGTTTGCCAGGCGCCCATATGCTGCAGCAGTTATCTGGTTGATGTGCGCCTCAGGAGATGTGCTCGGTGTTATACTCACCCTAAGATCCTTTTCCTTGAGTGAGGTTTGTAGTCTCTGGCCCCTAGACTGTACTCCGTCTGCAGTCTTCTTCGCCCTTCCCTAGTTTTAAATGACTTTGCACTTGGCGGGGTTGAATTCCAGGAGCCAGTTTCCGGACCAGGCCTGCAGCCTATCCAGATCCCTTTGTAGTTCTGCCTGGTCCTCGTCCGACTGAATTCTTATCATCAACTTCACATCATCTGCAAACAGCGACACTTCGGAGTCTATTCCTTCCGTCATGTCGTTCACATACACCAGAAACAGCACTGGTCCTAGGACTGACCCCTGTGGAACCCCACTGGTCACAAGCGCCCACTCTGACACCTCGCCACGTACCATGACTCGCTAATGTCTTCCCGATAGGTATCCCTTGATCCACTGCAGTGCCATCCCTGTTATACCTGCCTGGTCCTCCAGCTTATGCACTAGGCTGTGCGTGCGTGCGTGCGAGTGTGTGTGTGTATGTATGTGTGTGTGTGTGTGTGTGTGTGTGTGTGTGTGTGTGTGTGTGTGTGTGTGTGTGTGTATGTGTGTGTGTGTGTGTGTGTGTGTGTGTGTGTGTGTGTGTGTGTGTGTGTGTGTGTGTGTGTGTGTGTGTGTGTGTACTCACCTAGTTGTGGTTGCGGGGGTCGAGTCACAGCTCCTGTGTGTGCGTGTGTGTATGTAAAATGGTGGTAGCTACTCTTGTTCTCCACTTCTTCCCTCTTTTATCACTCTTTCTCATTTATCTCCGTACTTCCATCTCTGTGAAAAGGGTTAGTAACCCAGGAGAACCCATTGAAGCCAGCCAGTGAGGCTTATTCCCTTCGAGGTCCTGGTTTAGATCCTCCCAAGGATGTCACCTTCAATAGTCGACTAACTTCCAGGTATCTATTTGCTGCTAGATGAACAGGGACAGCAGGTGTTAGGAAACTTGTCCATACGTCCCCCACAGTGGGGTTCGACCCCACTTCCTCTCGGGTGTGGACCTAGCTCATTAACCACTGTGTGTGTGTCTGTCAAGACGGCTGTTCACTCACATGGTGACAGTCAAATGCTGTTTTGACGGCAACTGTCAAGAGAGAAAGGCTATCCAGCTCGCTTCCTGGTGACCTGAGGCACTGGTGACCTGACTTTATCCTCATTACACAGGTGACCTGGCCCCATTGACCCTCAGGCACTCAATAACCCTTAAGCCCACCAAAATACAAACATATTCTCACGAATATAAACATACCTATTAGCTCTGTTACTGAGATTCCTAAACATTAGCATAAGTACGCAAGAGCATGTCAACCACAGGACATTTCTCGGCCAAATGTAACAGCATTTTACAGTCTCCTTAAACCGTTCAGAGACAAACGCATCGTAACGCATTACAAATGGGCCACACAGGAGGCAGCTGTAACGCCCAAAAGCTCCGTAACTTATTATGACACGCAAGGAAGAATCGGGGCGTGGCCAGGAAGATCAGATTACCGTCACATCTGTGGTTATAACGGCGAGGGTACAGATATATCCTGGCTGAGGGAAGACTTGTAGTATAATATCTTGATTATGCAAACCATACCCATTCTGTGGGTCTACCTGCCTGGAGTCTACCTGGAGGGGATCCCATTAATCCCCTCCAGGTAGACTCCGTGGCCTGGTCCATGTTACTGCTGGCCGCACCTAGTCTAATGTGGATGGTAATCAAAAGATTACAGAGGTACATAATGGGTCCAGGGACTGTACCTCAACTTTACAGAAGTACATAATGGGTCCAGGGACTGTACCTCAACATTACAGAAGTACATAATGGGTCCAGGGACTGTACCTCAACATTACAGAAGTACATAATGGGTCCAGGGACTGTACCTCAACATTACAGAGGTACATAATGGGTCCAGGGACTGTACCTCAACATTACAGAGGTACATAATGGGTCCAGGGACTGTACCTCAACATTACAGAAGTACATAATGGGTCCAGGGACTGTACCTCAACATTACAGAAGTACATAATGGGTCCAGGGACTGTACCTCAACATTACAGAGGTACATAATGGGTCCAGGGACTGTACCTCAACATTACAGAGGTACATAATGGGTCCAGGGACTGTACCTCAACATTACAGAAGTACATAATGGGTCCAGGGACTGTACCTCAACATTACAGAAGTACATAATGGGTCCAGGGACTGTACCTCAACATTACAGAGGTACATAATGGGTCCAGGGACTGTACCTCAACAAGTTACAGTGATAATGAACAATTTACACATTTAAATCTGGCTACAATCGCAATGGGTGAATGGGGAACCACAGGGGATCCTATACGGGATTCCTCAACCCGCTGTACGGAAGCGTCCCCCCCTGTGGCTAAGTGGTAAATACTGTGTGTGTGAGAGCACAGTCACTGCAGGATTCTTGGTCATCGCTGTTCTGGCCGCTGGACGCAATTACGCAGATGTTGCGTTATCTCGCTCCTCCCCCTTTCTTTGTGCCTCTTGTAGCGTCGACTCGAAGACAGGTAGCGCGCGACGCCGGCCGAAGTAGCGCCGCGAGTAAGGTAGTGTGGGCAAGTGTGAAGCGTGGGAAGGGTTTGCCCATTCTTATTTAGCGCCTTGGAGAACTTTTAACAGGTTATGTGTTCCTATGTGTAGAGGTTTATCACGGCATGTTTCAACGTGAAGGGAATTGTCAAGTCATGTTCCCCTCCGTATAGAGCTTGGCTGAGTCATCTCCCGCGATGCGTTATGTTACCCTCCACGTAGACCTTTTTGCTGAGTCATCTTTCGCGGCGTGTAGAGCTTTATCACGCAATTTGTCGTGACTTTAAACTCTATGTAGAGCTTTAAGTCAGGTTTCACTGTGTAGAGTTTTATCAAGTTATGTTTCACTTTGTATAGAGCTTTAACAAGTCATGTTTCACTCTCTATAGAGTTTTATCAAGTCATGTTTCACTCTATATAGAGCTTTATAAAGTCATGTTTCACTCACTATAGAGTTTTATCAGGTCATGCTTCACTCTATATAGAGCTTTATAAAGTCATGTTTCAGTCTGTATGGAGCTTTATCAAGTCATGTTTCACTCTATATAGAGCTTTATAAGTCATGTTTCACTCTATATAGAGCTTTATAAAGTCATGCTTCACTCTGTATAGAGCTTTATCAGGTCATGCTTCACTCTGTATAGAGCTTTATAAAGTCATGTTTCACTCTATATAGAGCTTTATAAAGTCATGTTTCACTCTATACAGAGCTTTATAAAACCATGGGCGAAACGTTGCTCCGATACAAACTTGTCCTGGAACCTGAATCTTTGCCCTGACAGTGTTGTATGTGCTCACCTAATTACGTTTGCAGGGGGGGTCGAGGCGCCGCTCCTGATCCTGCTCCTTGAGTTGCCGTCACCGACATCTACTTAATTCTGGCCTCCAATGGCTCTATCGTACCTACTCCTGAAGCTGGGTCTTGATTTTTCAATTAATTTTGACCAGTGTGAGATGATAATGAGATTTCACTGTTTTTTTTCTCTCTCTCTCATTTCTTTTTCTTTACAGGTGTGGATGAAATGAGAGGTGAGGGTAGGACAGGAGAGTGGGAACTTCCCTCTCCTCGTACCGTGAGTCGGGTCATGCACGAGGGGGAGCGGCGCCCCCCTCTCTCCCATCTTACTGTGATGCTTATGCAGTGGGGTCAGTTTATTGACCATGACATTGTACACACTCCTGAGGCAGCAGGTGAGTCTGGTGCACACACACACACACACACACACACACACACACACACACACACATACAGGCAGGGTCCATACATAGTTTCGAGAAGATGTACGATAAGGCTCTTGGAGCAGGAAGAGAGGGTACCTAGTAGTGACCAGCAGATAAAAAGGCAAGGTCAGGAGCTGTGACTTGACCCCTATAACCATGTATAGGTGAACATATAAGTGAACACACACACAGGGGCCAGGAGCTATGATTCGATCCCTGCAACCACAAATAGGTGGGTACACACACATTCAATTACACTGTCCTTCAGTTTATCACTATCCTTCACCGTGTTCCTTACTATCCCCTCTATCTGGCACTGCCTCTAGGCACCTCCCTCACCATCTTTCTATCTGGCACTCTGTGTGACTGCAAAGATTGAGAGGAAAAACACAAATCACGTTACAGAATAGTGGATACAGGAAGTGAGTGGTGTTACCTCAGTGGTGGTGGTGTTACAGTGTTGGTGTTACCTCAGTAGTGGTGTTGTTACAGTGTTGGTGTTACCTCAATGGTGTTGTTGTTACAGTGGTGGTGTTGTTACAGTGGTGGTCACACAGTGGTGGTGTTGTTACAGTTGTGGGTCAGAATGGTGAGACAATGCCAGTCAGTTGCTGCAGAGACGGTCTTCTGGGGAACGACCCCTTCGACCACGACTTCGCCCACGACTGTCGACCCGTCGATGTCTCCTCCGACCTCCTGTTCTCCTCCAACGGCAGAGGCTGCATGAGATTCGTCAGATCCCTCATAGCCAGCAGGGGCTGCATCCTGGGTGAGTCTGTGTACTAGATTCACTTTCCGTACTAGATGTACTAGTCCCAAGTACCTCCAAGCAAATTTAGCCTCTTAGACTGAGAGGCTGTCAACTATACGCTTAGTCTGATATCTTTATTTTAACATATGAATATACAACACGACCTTTTCGACAATCACATTTAATATTCTATGCATATAGGCTATCACCTACATGTGGAGCCATATTTTAATAGAACATTGATAAAGTGGAATAATCTCAGCGTTCCACACATACCTCGACCTACTGATGAGTGCCTGTGTTCTCCACCAGGTCCCAGAGAGCAGCTGAACCAAGTCACTTCCTACCTGGATGGGTCGATGATCTACGGGTCGACACCCGAAGTGGCAGCAGCCCTGCGAACTCACGAAGGAGGTCGACTTCACAAGTCTCGAGGTCCAGGCGCAGGTCTAGGGGACTTCCTACCCCAGACTGCTTGTGGTCACGTCACCGGCTTCTGCTTTAGGGCTGGTAAGCAGGTGCAGCAGCACTCTCTGCAAGTATACGTACAAGCAGGAACCATACATAGCTTTAAGACGAGGTATGATAAAGCTCATGGAGCAGAGAGGGGGGGGACCCAGTAGTGGTCAGTGAAGTGGCGGGGCCAGGAGCTGAGTCTTGGCCCCCTCAACCACAATTAGGTGAGTGCAATTAGGTGAGTACAGGGATACCTGATTGGTATTACTCCAGCGAGTTCCGTTTATTTTGGAATTATACAGGCCATTTATTATATATATATATATATATATATATATATATATATATATATATATATATAATATATATATATATATAATATATATATATAATATATATATATAATATATATATATATATATATATATATATATATATATATATATATATATATATATATAATGGAAACGACCTCCCAGTTACTATTATGGTTATGGCTCCTGACGTGCTGGAAAACATTCTAAACAGAGCTTAATCTGCACATCCTGTCTTCCAAACTCATCAAAGTATCTATTTCAAATTCTAATTATACAATCCCTTAATAGCTTAACTAATTATGTCAAACAAGAGTTTACCTATAATTACATTCCTGATTATTATTATTACTATTATTATTATTATTATTATTATTATTATTCATGGGGGCATTAAACCCAAGTTTTAACACTTACTTTTGTCTGCATTATTCATCGTAAACCAGTGAATATTATGCTGTTTCTGGCGACCAGGAACCATGATTCGACCCAAGCTACCACAGCTAGGTGTCTACAATACAGAAATCCCATTGAACCGAAATCTTATTGAAAAGTAAAGCAGTTTTAGCTTATTTAATAAAGCAACTTTAGTTAATAAATAGTAGAATAAAGGTACATCAAATCTGTTTTTTTTTTTTTTTTTGTAGAGAAAAGAGAGCAGACAATCAAAATCCTGCTGTAAACCCGTATGGGTTTAGCACAGAGGAGAGCAGAGAGTGTCAGATGTCATTTGCTCTGTGATAAACGGGACAGTCTATCAAAAAATGTGGACTGTTAGCATAATTTGGCAATTTTTATAGAGGTGGTGGGTAGATGACCATGAAATGATCGCGTCTGGGGGGGCCCCTTGTGGGGGCCCCGTGTGGGGGCCCCGTGTGGGGGCCCCGTGTATCCAATACTCAGTCACATCATTATAATTTTCCCATCATTAACATCGCTAAAATAAAAGGGCCAAGAGCTCTATTATTCGTTGATTTAATAAAGAAAAAAGCTTGTTGGTCACTAATTCTAACAGCGTTGTCAGCGATCACGGAGGTGCTGAGTCAGTACAGGGAAATGGACTTCCGATGGGTAACTAGCTGCCCGAAGGGAACTGGAAAGTCCTGGAATCCCCGATGGGTAACTAGCTGTCCAAAGGGAACTGGAAAGTTGTGGAGTCCCCGAAGGGTAACTGGCTGCCCGAAGGGAACTGAAAAGTCCTGGAATCCCCGAAGGGTAACTAGCTGCCCGAAGGGAACTGGAAAGTCCTGGAATCTCCGAAGGGTAACTAGCTACCTGGAGTTTACCTGGAGAGTGTTTCGGGGGTCAACGCCCCCGCGGCCCGGTCTGTGACCAGGCCTCCTGGTGGATCAGCGCCTGATCAACCAGGCTGTTGCTGCTGGCTGCACGCAAACCAACGTACGAGCCACAGCCCGGCTGATCAGGAACTGCCTTTAGGTGCTTGTCCAGTGCCAGCTTGAAGACTGCCAGGGGTCTGTTGGTAATCCCCCTTATGTGTGCTGGGAGGCAGTTGAACAGTCTCGGTCCCCTGACACTTATTGTATGGTCTCTTAACGTGCTAGTGACACCCCTGCTTTTCATTGGGGGGATGGTGCATCGTCTGCCAAGTCTTTTGCTTTCGTAGTGAGTGATTTTCGTGTGCAAGTTCGGTACTAGTCCCTCTAGGATTTTCCAGGTGTATATAATCATGTATCTCTCCCTCCTGCGTTCCAGGGAATACAGGTTTAGAAACCTCAAGCGCTCCCAGTAATTGAGGTGTTTTATCTCCGTTATGCGCGCCGTGAAAGTTCTCTGTACATTTTCTAGGTCGGCAATTTCACCTGCCTTGAAAGGTGCTGTTAGAGTGCAGCAATATTCCAGCCTAGATAGAACAAGTGACCTGAAGAGTGTCATCATGGGCTTGGCCTCCCTAGTTTTGAAGGTTCTCATTATCCATCCTGTCATTTTTCTAGCAGATGCGATTGATACAATGTTATGGTCCTTGAAGGTGAGATCCTCCGACATAATCACTCCCAGGTCTTTGACGTTGGTGTTTTCGCTCTATTTTGTGGCCAGAATTTGTTTTGTACTCTGATGAAGATTTAATTTCCTCATGTTTACCATATCTGAGTAATTGAAATTCTCATCGTTGAACTTCATATTGTTTTTCTGCAGCCCACTGAAAGATTTGGTTGATGTCCGCCTGGAGCCTTGCAGTGTCTGCAATGGAAGACACTGTCATGCAGATTCGGGTGTCATCTGCAAAGGAAGACACGGTGCTGTGGCTGACATCCTTGTCTATGTCGGATATGAGGATGAGGAACAAGATGGGAGCTAGTACTGTGCCTTGTGGAACAGAGCTTTTCACCGTAGCTGCCTCGGACTTTACTCTGTTGACGACTACTCTCTGTGTTCTGTTAGTGAGGAAATTATAGATCCATCGACCAACTTTTCCTGTTATTCCTTTAGCGCGCATTTTGTGCGCTATTACGCCATGGTCACACTTGTCGAAGGCTTTTGCAAAGTCTGTATATATTACATCTGCGTTCTTTTTGTCTCTAGTGCATTTAGGACCTTGTCGTAGTGATCCAGTAGTTGAGACAGACAGGAGCGACCTGTTCTAAACCCATGTTGCCCTGGGTTGTGTAACTGATGGGTTTCTAGATGGTGGTGATCTTGCTTCTTAGGACCCTTTCAAAGATTTTTATGATATGGGATGTTAGTGCTATTGGTCTGTAGTTCTTTGCTGTTGCTTTACTGCCCCCTTTGTGGAGTGGGGCTATGTCTGTTGTTTTAGTAACTGAGGGACGACCCCCGTGTCCATGCTCCCTCTCCATAGGATGGAAAAGGCTCGTGATAGGGGCTTCTTGCAGTTCTTGATGAACACAGAGTTCCATGAGTCTGGCCCTGGGGCAGAGTGCATGGGCATGTCATTTATCGCCTGTTCGAAGTCATTTGGCGTCAGGATAACATCGGATAGGCTTGTGTTAATCAAATTTGTGGCTCTCTCATAAAAAATTCATTTTGATCTTCGACTCTCAGTCTGGTTAGCGGCTTGCTAAAAACTGAGTCATATTGGACTTGAGTAGCTCACTCATTTCCTTGCTGTCATCTGTGTAGGACCCATCTTGTTTAAGTAGGGGCCCAATACTGGACGTTGTTCTCGATTTTGATTTGGCATAGGAGAAGAAATACTTTGGGTTTCTTTCGATTTCATTTATGGCTTTTAGTTCTTCCCGCGATTCCTGACTCCTAAAGGATTCTTTAGCTTAAGTTCGATGCTTGCTATTTCTCTGACCAGTGTCTCCCTGCGCATTTCTGATATATTGACCTCTTTTAGCCGCTCTGTTATTCTTTTTTCCGTCGCCTGTAAAGGGAGCGCCTGTCTCTTTCTATTTTACATCTACTCCTCCTTTTTCTTAGAGGAATAAGCCTTGTGCATACATCGAGTGCCACCGAGTTAATCTGTTCTAGGCATAAGTTTGGGTCTGTGTTGCTTAGTATATCTTCCCAGCTTATATCGGTTAGGACTTGGTTTACTTGGTCCCACTTTATGTTTTTGTTATTGAAGTTGAATTTGGTGAATGCTCCCTCGTGACTAGTCTCATTTTGTCGGTCTGAGGCTCCACGCATACATGTCTGAACCTCAATTATGTTGTGATCTGAGATATATTGTTTTTGATATGGTGACATTTCTTATCAATCATCATTGTTAGTGAAGATGAGGTCTAGTGTATTCTCCAGTCTAGTAGGCTCTATTATTTGCTGGTTTAAATTGAATTTTGTGCAGAGATTTAAAAGCTCGTGTGAGTGTGAGTTTTCATCAGAGCTGCCTCCTGGTTTATTACTGCAACAATATTATTTGCTATATTCCTCCATTTTAGGTGCCTTAAGTTGAAATCCCCCAGAGCAAGATGTTGGGTGCAGGAGCTGGAAGATTTTCCAGACAGTGGTCAATTTTTAACAGCTGTTCCTGGAATTGCTGGGATGTTGCATCCGGAGGCTTGTAGACTACCACAATGACTAGGTTTTGGTTCTCGACCTTTACTGCTAAAACTTCCACTACGTCATTTGAGGCATTAAGCAGTTCTGTGCAAACAAGTGACTCTGCAATGTACAGGCCAACCCCCCCCTTTTGCCTGTTCACTCTGTCACATCTGTATAGGTTGTAACCTGGGATCCATATTTCGTTGTCCAAGTGATCCTTTATGTGGGTCTCAGTGAAAGCCGCGAACATTGCCTTTGCCTCTGCAAGCAGTCCACGGATGAAAGGTATTTTGTTGTTTATTGCTGGCTTTAGACCCTGTATATTTGCAAAGAAGAATGTTATCGGACTGGTGGTATTGTTGGTACTGGGGGGGATTTTTTTTCCGGCATTAGTATCTGTATCTGTTGGTTTGGAGTGGAGGCCATCGACTGTGGTTCCACTCCAGGAATGACTGGATTTGGTGTACGATTTCTGCCATTTCCTGCCAGTTTTTTTTCCTTCCTGGCACTAAAAAACCTCGAAGGGAACTGGAAAGTCCTGGAATCCTCGAAGGGTAACTAGCTGCCCGAAGGGAACTGGAAAGCCCTGGAATCCCCGAAGGGTAACTAGCTGCCCGAAGGGAACTGGAAAGTCCTGGAATCCTCGAAGGGTAACTAGCTGCCCGAAGGGAATGAAAGTCGTGGAGTGTACAATGTACAGCAGGGTCTGCAGACTCACTGTCCTCAACCTAAGGGTAACCAGAAACACAGAAAAAACGGGGTGACCTTCCAGTGAGTACAGAAGATGATACAGATTGAGCCTTGGATAAAGAAGAACAGATAGAGAATAAAGAGGCAGAATATCGTGGCTAGATCAATTCACCGTGGCTGGAACAATTCACCGTGGCTGGAACAATTCACCGTGGCAGGAAGAATTCACCGTGGCTGGAACAATTCACCGTGGCTGGAACAATTCGCCGTGGCTGGAACAATTCACCGTGGCTGGAACAATTCACCGTGGCTGGAACAATTCACCGTGGCTAGATCAATTCACCGTGGCTGGAACAATTCACCGTGGCTGGAACAATTCACCGTGGCTGGAACAATTCACCGTGGCTGGAACAATTCGCCGTGGCTGGAACAATTCACCGTGGCTGGAACAATTCACCGTGGCTAGATCAATTCACCGTGGCTGGAACAATTCACCGTGGCTGGAACAATTCACCGTGGCTGGAACAATTCACCGTGGCAGGAACAATTCACCGTGGCTGGAACAATTCGCCGTGGCTGGAACAATTCACCGTGGCTGGAACAATTCACCGTGGCTGGAACAATTCACCGTGGCTGGAACAATTCGCCGTGGCTGGAACAATTCACCGTGGCTGGAACAATTCACCGTGGCTGGAACAATTCACCGTGGCTGGAACAATTCGCCGTGGCTGGAACAATTCGCCGTGGCTGGAACAATTCACCGTGGCTGGAACAATTCGCCGTGGCTGGAACAATTCACCGTGGCTGGAACAATTCACCGTGGCTGGAACAATTCGCCGTGGCTGGAACAATTCGCCGTGGCTGGAACAATTGTTTCATTCCTCTCCTCTATGAGAGGAAGGAAAGAATAATAAATAGCAATATGTGGCCGGGTAGGCAAAGCTCTCATCGTGGTTCGATCCCCGGCATGAGTAGAAACATTGGGCGTGTTACCTTACACCTGTCCCGTTCACCTAGCAAGCAAGTAGGTGTCTGGGTGTTAGTTGACTGGTGTCGGTGGCATCCCGGGGAACAAAATTGAGGATCACAATGGAAATAAGAAGGACAGTCTTCGATGACGCAGTAACTTTCTTGTGTTATCCTGGGTGACTAACCCTCCGGGGTTAAAAATCCCAACAAAATCTTATTATATTTAATGGAAGTGCTGAACCTGCATGGGCCGCTCAAGTCGAGCAGTGGAGGCTCGATTCACCGTCTGCTAAGTGCAAGACGCCAATGACGGCGCCAAGACGGATTAAAAAAAACGACCGAAACGCACCATAATCTCCATAAACTCCATCCCTCCCCCAGCCCCCCCAAAAAAAATATTAATGTAGCATAGAGACAAATTCCCCCCCCCCAGGCTCCTTTTCAACGACCCCAGTGGAAATAAGTCACCCTGATTAACCTTTTTGGGGGGTTATCCAAGGCAATTTACACATGTATAATCGTCCTTATGTGTGCCTGAATAAAATTACTTTCAATAATAGTTTACCCATTTCGGTTTCTATGATGGTGTCTGAGAGCACTAAAGAGCACGTTTTAACATAGACTTATCTAAACAGCTTATAACCGACTATGTCTCTCCTGGAGGTATTTATTTTGGCTATTACACAAGTTTGTGTTATTTACACTTGTCTTATATAGTGACTTAAATGTAAATTAACGTTTACTAACACAGTGTATACACTGAGAGTTTAGTTTAATCCCTATTTTAGGGATTAAAGTGTATTTGTCTGGTGGTGGTGGGGGTTACGTGTAGCCTTAATGACCCTCGTGTAGTAGACAGGCTTTAAACCGGTTAATTAACCAACCAGAGTGAGCCTTCCTGGTTGGCAGACTCCACGACCTGGCCATGACTGTGACCTGACTGTGACCCGGCCATGACTGTGACTTGAAAGTGACCTGACCATGACTGTGACTAACTTGACAGTGACATGATCATGACTGTGACTAACTTGACAGTGACATAACCATGACTGTGACTTGACTCTGACCGTGACCTGAACCCGACTGTGACCTGATCCCCACTGTGACTCACATATCTAAGTCATCTTCACATCTACAGTGCTCACTGTACCCCTAGTAAGTAACTAACTCTATTTAGATAAAGATAACCATAAACACGATTATCATACACAATAACATATATGTAAATTATCCTCCAGGATATTACAATCGACCTAATTTCCACTGGGTTGCATAATTATTATTATTATTATTATTATTATTATTATTATTATTATTATTATTATTATTATTATTATTATTATTATTATTATTATTATTATTACCTTACATGTACTTGCAGGAGACGAGAGGGTGAACGAGCAGCCAGCTCTAACATCCATGCACACTCTGTGGCTCAGGGTTCATGAGAACCTGGCCGGCCAGTTTGGGGTTCTGAACCCTCATTGGGACGACGAGACGATCTATCAGGTACGACAAGGCTCATTACTTTGTAATTTGTTCATGACTGTAACCATGTATAGGGGTGAGACTAATTCATTACCTCTGTAACTTGCCATGATTGTGACCAGATCTACCTGGAGTTCATTACCTTTGTAGCTAGTTTAGCTATGCCCACAGGATGGGTATGGGGTGCATAATAAACATATTAAACTAACTAACAGCTATCATAACTTTGGGGTCCAGTCCCTGGGTCCATTATGTACCTTTGTAATCTTTTGACTACGCCCACAGGATTCAAATTCAAATTCAAACTCAAAGTTTATTCTCTATAAGGATTACAATGCTGAGTTTGCAGAATTTGGTTATTGTGTGGTTTACATGTAGTAAAATAATAATTACAGAGTGTACCACTAGAACACCTAGCATGGCTAGGCATTTCGGGCAGACTTAAATTAAATCTTAAGTTTAAAATATTACAAAATTATGAGGTAAGTTGGTATTATGGCTAAGTGACTAAATACTAGTTTGTGAGTTTAGCAATGTGAATGCTTTTGTTTTGGCACAGTACATAGTTTCAGTATTGGAGTATCACAGGTCAACTTATGACTAGTTAAGATTCATTATTTTGAGATTGAGATTGATATTTCTGTTTATGGTCAAATGGGTGAGTGAGTGTAAGTGTGAACCACCAGGTGGTATTCGTGTAGTTAGTTGACAGGGTGTATCAGGGAGATAAGATGTTTTCTGATGGTAGTTTTGAAGGTGATGAATGTGTCTGCAGTTTTAGAATTTTCAGGTAGGGTGTTCCAGATTTTAGGGCCTTTGACATACATTGAATTTTTGTAAAGGTTTAGTCGGACACGGGGAATGTCATAGAGATGTTTGTGTCTGGTGTTGTGCCTGTGGGTTCTGTCGCAACTATCAAGAAAGCGTTTTAGGTCAAGGTTAATATTGGAATTTAAGGTCCTGTAGATGTAGATTGCACAGTAGTAAGTGTGGATGTACTGAACAGGGAGTAAGTTTAGATCTATGAAGTGGGGGGGGGGTGTTGCCAGGGATGGGATTTAGTGATTATTCTTACTGCGGCTTTTTGTTGGGTTATTATTGGCTTTAGGTGTGTTGCTGCAGTTGAACCTCAAGCACAGATAGCATAGGTGAGGTATGGGTATATAAGTGAATGGTATAGTGTGAGAAGGGCAGTTTGCGGCACGTAGTATCGTATCTTGGAGAGGATCCCAACCGTTTTGGATACTTTTTTGGTTATGTGTTGGATTTGGGTGCTGAAGTTCAGGTTGTTGTCGAGGTATAGGCCTAGGAATTTGCCCTCATTATGCCTGGCAATTAGAGTGTTGTCGATCTTAATGTTAATTTGCGCATCTCCTGCTCTGCTACCAAACATAATGTAGTAGGTTTTGTCAGTGTTAAGCGTAAGTTTATTGGCTGTCATCCAAGTCGATATTTTAATCAGCTCCTCATTAACAATGGTGTTGAGGGTGGCAAGATTAGGGTGAGAGATGACATAAGTCGTGTCGTCAGCAAAGAGAATGGGGTTCAGGTATTGAGATACGTTTGGAAGATCATTGATGTATATGAGGAAGAGCAGGGGACCAAGGACACTTCCCTGCGGAACTCCAGTATCAAGTGGCTGTGTTGTTGATGCTGTGTCTTTAATGGTGACATACTGATACATATTAGTAAGGTAAGATTTTAAATATGCAAGCGCATGGCCTTTTATACCATAATGGTCAAGTTTGTGGAGTATAATGCCGTGGTCTACTGTGTCAAAAGCTTTTCTTAGGTCAATAAAAATTCCTAGTGGATATTCCTTATTTTCCAATGCTGTGTAAAGCAGATCTAGCATTTTTATGATTGCATCGTTAGTGCTTTTATTTTTCCTGAATCCAAATTGGCAGGGGTTGAGTATGTTTTGTGCCGTTATAAATGAATATAGTCTCCTGTGCACGAGTTTCTCAAAGATTTTGGATAGCAATGGTAAGTTTGATATTGGCCTATAGTTGTTTAAATCTGTAGGGTCACCACCTTTATGTATTGGTGTAACCCTTGCCGTCTTGAGTAGTTTCGGGAAGGTGCTAGTTTCTAGTGACTTGTTAAAAAGTAATGGTGGGACATGATGGTGGGACATGAGACAGATTCCCTAAGTTATTTTTAAGTGACTTTATAATCTCGGTGACTTCCATGGGCTCAGTTGGAGCAAGATAGAAGGAATTTGGGAAATTCCCATCTAGGTAGTCCCCAGCATGGGCATTGGTGCATGGGATTTTATTGGCGAGATTAGAACCTATGGTTGAGAAGAAGTCGTTTATCTTGTTAGCTGTGTCAGTGGGATGCAGTGGTGTTTCATTAGGTTTAGTTAGGACAATATTCTTGTTTTTTTTAAGTTTGTGGGTCCCTAGAATCTGAGAGAGTGTTTTCCAGGTCTTTTTTATATCTCCTCTTGTGTCAGTGAATCTACTGGAGTAGTATAGTTGTTTGGCTTTCTTTATTACTTTGGTGAGGACTGATGAATAGTGTTTAAGAATATCTTTGTGTATTAAGCCCTGTCTATATTGCTTTTCATATTGGTGTTTCTTATCAATGGATTTCAGAATGGTGCTGGTTAGCCATGGGCAACCAAGCCGTTTGTTTGTGATCTGTTTCGTTTTTATAGGACAATGTTTGTTGTATAGTCTAAGTAATTTGTTAAGAAAAATGTCTGTCCAGTCATCAATACCATTGGCCTTGGAGAATTCTGTAGGCCAGTCAACAGTCTCTAGGTCAGCTGTGAACTTCCTTATTGAGGCCTCATCATGGAGTCTAAATGAAACTTTGTTGTATTCAAGTGGTGGTTTACTAATGTTTGTCAGGAGGAAGGTAGGGTAGTGGTCTGTAGTGCTATCTGTGATTATCCCTGATTTAAGGGGGGCTAGTATATTGGTCCATATGTGGTCTATTATGGTTGCACTCGTTTCAGTGAGCCTGGTTGGTTTAGTTATTGTTGGTATGAGAAGTGTGTTATTCATATTGTTGATGAAATCAGTTACAGGCTGATCATCTAGTAGGCCAAGGTTGATGTTGAAGTCTCCAGCTAAGAGAAGGTGGTGCTTATTCATTTGTCTGTTATTAGTGCCTTTAGTTTCTCACTGAAATTTGGGATGTTTGTGTGGGGTATCCGGTAAATGGCACCGATTGTTATAGGCGTCTTAAGGTTTTTTACAGTAAAATTAGCAAAAATGTATTCTCCATATTCATCACTAAAGCAAGTGGTGCTAATACAAGATAATTGGTTAGAGTAATAGACTGCAATACCACCCCCAACTTGGTTTGGTCTGCAGTTGTGAATTGCTGTGTATCCTGGTAGAGGGTAGATATCTATTATGTCCTGCTTAAGCCAGGTCTCAGTAAGAATAATGCAGGAGAAGGGTGTCTTTAGTGATTCAAGGAGTGCCAGGAGGTCATCATAGTGTTTGCTTAAGGACCTAATGTTGTAGTTAAGTACTGATAGACTTTTAGCATTGTTTAGGATAGTGCTGGCTTGTGATGCTGTGTAGTAAAGGCAGTTACTTTCCAATAGGTTTTGATTGTGTGTCAGATTATGGAGGTTTAGATCAGGGTCAACGTGATCAATCATCTTCTAGGTTTAAATTATGGTTATTTATATCTTGAGTTGTGGGTTGAGTTTTAGTACTGATATCTGTAGTGGTGGGAAGTTTGGACAAATATATAGCTAGAGTATTTTGGTCATGTAGAGTATAGTCACTAATACACATAATGGAGTTAGTGTTGTCTATGTGTTGTGCTGGAATGAGCTAAAGTACAACTAGGCATAAACTAATAATATAAAAATACAAATTAAAAATAGCACAAGACTCTCACTTGTAATTGCACTATGGTCTAATATAATGAATTTGGTATTGACTATAGTACAATTGAGTTTAATCTAATGATATAAAAAAGGCACAAGACTCTCAATTGTAATTGCACTAAGGTGTTATATAAGTTGTTTACAAGAATTAGAGTATAACTAGATTTAAATTGACAGGATAAAATATGCAAGTTAAGGTAGCAAAATAATAAAAAAATTAGAAAAAAAAATATATATGAGGTAGTTGGTACTAGTTAGCAAAAGATAGTTAAGGGCCTTGAACAATAATATAATTGAAATATACACTAATTGCACACACAATATAGTCACTAAGATATGAAAACAATCTTAGAATAGGACTTATAATATAAACTTATAATATAAAAATACAAATTGAAATGGTACTTGCAATTGCACTAGAGTCTGGTATATGTTGTTGACAAGATCAGGAGTATAACTAGATTTAAATTGACAAAATAAAATTCACAAATTAAGGTATAAAAGAATAATAAGTAAAAAATAACAATGGCAATGACTTGGTTATAATATGATAGTAAGATGGTACACAGGTACACAGGTACACAGGTACACAGGTACAAAGGATAATATAAAGGTTGGAGTTGAATATACAAACTTGAAAATTTGGCAACAAAATGTTATGGGAAGTATAAAATAATGTTTAATGTACAAAAGTAAAATTGACTGGTAGTAAATATGGTGTTTAATAAAATTTTAGTAAGTAATAATGATTACAAAAAGTGAAAAAGTATGTTTATTTCATTCAATATTGCACTGGTAGTTATACTAGAGGTTATATGGCAGTACAAGGTAATTAAGAGTACTCTAAGATAGTAAATGTGGTATTAAAACTGGTTAAGGTAATTAGACGAGTAATGGTTATTAAATGATGTCAAAAATGTTAAGAGTAAATTGTATTGATAGTAAAAATGGTAATTATTAATTTTAGTAAGTAATATTAATTGATAGTATTTAAAAAAATATGAGGTAGTAATATGGACAGAGAAAGTATCGATTCAGCTAATGTTTAAGTAAACAATAGTAAATAAGAAAATTAGATAAGGTAACTTATGCTTACTAGTAAAATCACAAAATGAGGTAGTTGATTATTTAATTACTAAGAGATTGTACAATGAAATTTGAACAATAATGGAGCAAAACATTCACTACACTACGTAGACTTTTAAGTTGGACATTGTTTAGTTATTCTCTGTAAGATTAGTATCCCTGAGAAATCGTGATAGATCATTCTGGTTCGTGATTGTGTACAGTTGACCTACATTTGCTTTCCTAACTAGAATTTTCCCATCCCGTGTGAAGCATTGGTGTATTGTGTCGTTATTCTCCCGCTTAAGTTTTCTGACTATACAGGAGGTTCTGACGTTTTTTTGGTAAGACACTCGTTTATGTATACCTCTTTCTTTACTTTAATAGATGCAATAATTAAGTCTTTTTTCCTGTCATGTGAGTGGAATCTAAGCATAACACTTTTTCTATCATGGGATCCTAGTAACCTGGCTTCTTTTATTTCAGACTCTGGTACAATAACACTTGTTTGGTCCTTTATGATCTGCAGAGTAATTTCTTTACTGTTTGTTTGGTTCGTATCACTGGGAAAAAGTGGACTGTTAACTATTACTGCGTCCGATAGTTTATCTTGTTCAGTTTTATCTTCTTGGAGAGCAAAGTAGTCACTGAACTGGTTATCTAAGTTGTTCTTCCATTCTTTTACTGCTTCTTCAACCTTTGTATTAAGAGATATTATTTGTTCTGTATGGCTATCTATGACTGCTTGGATGGTCTTGTCACAGTTAGTCATTCCTGGTGTTGATAACTTTTGTTCAAGACTGAGAATTTTGTTCTCGAGTTGTGTCATCCTGGTGTCTTGTTTTGTTAGTGTCTCTCGAAGATTCATATTTTCAATAACTAAAGTGGAGATGCATGACTTTAGGGTATCTGGATCGTTGGTCATACCTGAGAGACTACTAGGTAGGTTGAATCTGGGGAAGAGAGGGGAGGATGGGCTGGTGGCAGCCATGTTTGTTGTTATTGTTGTGGTGTTGCCTTGAGCGGTGGTGAGTGGGGTGGTTGCTGGACCGGCGTCCTCAGTAAGTAAGTTTATTCAGGTATACACAAATACAGTTACATAGAATTATCGTACATAGCAGCATATGTGTAGAGAACCTAGGATAACCCAAAAAAGTCAGACAGAGTGACTTATTTCCATTGGGGTCCTTTGGCTACACTTGTTGAATAGTTGATTTTTCGGTGTTTTCTTGCTGGCCTTGGTGCTGTTTCCTCTTAGATTGCGCCTCATAATACTACAGGAATTGTTGTAGTTAAGAAGAAGTTGTAGTTATACAAAGCTTGGGGTTTCGTTGTTCGGCTGGCAGTAGGGTGTTGCTTTCGGTTTGTGTGCAGTCTTCCTTTGATCTCTAATATTTTCGATTTGTAGGTTTCACTGTTGGTAATCTTTGGTCATTCTGGGTGCTACGTTGGGTAGTGCAGTTTTGCTTGTAACTAGGTCATCATAGGAGCATTGGTGGCTCTGATAGTTGGAGAAAAGTACGGAGCTTGGAGGTTGCTGCTGCCGCTGCCGCTACCCGTATGGGGTGCATAATAAAGATATTAAACTAGGTACGACAAACGAATCAGTTATGGTACAACAGACTGTGTTCATATGTATTAATTTGGCATGTATATTTTACATTATGGAACAAATATTTACAGGTTAATTCACAATTCACTAATGGTCTTAGGAAATTAAACTTGTAAAGGGCAGTCGTAGCAGTAGTCGTTATATAACCCAACCTCCTTCAGGAGAGCCGTCGTGTAGTCGTGGCGCTGATCCAGCAGACGACCTATACGGAGTTCCTACCGCTGGTGTTAGGAGACAACCTAATGAGGGAGTACGACCTATACCCACGACCTACCAGTCCCCATGCCACCTACGACCCATCCGTCGATGCTTCCATCGCTAACGGCTTCGCTACAGCAGCCTTCAGGTTGGTCGAATTACGGGTTTGAAGCCTATCTAAAGGACACCAGTAGAAATAAGTCTGACTTTTCTTGGGTTATCCCAGGTAATTTACACACATGTTACTATGTATGATAATATGTGTAAGTGTATTAATGTATCCCTGTACCTAAATAAACTTACTGCGCGATTTAAGTAAGTTCACTGTATATATATATACCAAGAGATACATAATTCTCAGTGTATATACACAGAGATATATACCTCAGTGAATATAATAATGTTATACAATACTGACGAGTGTATAAGTAAGACACATGTGTAGCAATTAGGTATCTTTATTCCGAAACGTTTCGCTCACGCAGTAGGCCTCTTCAGTCGAGTATAGAGGCGGCAGTTATGGGACTGACCATCTCAAAACTACATCTTTACTTCTCTACAGCTACTGCTGCCTTCTGTGTACTCGACTGAAGAAGCCTACTGTGTAGGCGAAACGTTTCGGAATAAAGATACCTAACTGTTGCACATACGTCTTACCTATTAACTCTCAGTTTTTATAACCCATCCTTTACAGCCACTGGCCCCCCTCTCATCTCCTTCCTAAATATTCGATAAAATAACCGTTCCATCGCTTCAGGTTCGGGCACACACTGGTCAACGACATGCTAATGGGTGCTGGGAGAAACGTCAGTCTCCTAGGCAGTTTCATGGATCCCCACACTCTCCACCAGTTCGGGACGAGTCCCTCTGACTTGCTCTTGGGACTCGCCACCTCCCAGTCCCAGGCAGCGGACTCTTACCTGGTCCACACTCTCACTAACAAGCTCTTCGCTGGTCCACAAGAGTCTGTTGGGCTGGACCTCATGGCTCTTAACATCCAGGTAAGAGTCAGAATCTCCTTTAAAACAGGAACCTTTCGCACAGATTTGATAAAGCTCTATAGAGAGCGAAACAAGGGTCTTGTTATATATATATGCAAGGAATTCGCAAGAGCAGGCGAAATATACACAAACACTGATCTCTGGCTGAAGGAGACTCGAACCTACGAACCTTGGAACAAGGTACGCAGTGCTATACCAAACTCACCACACTGGACATTACCTTGGAGTCCAGCTTGCGCTAGACTTTGATCCAAGGCAGCCAGCTTTCAGGGAGAAGGCTTACATCTTTTCATCTCATCCCTGAAAGCTGGCTGCCTTGGATTAAAGTCTAGCGCAAGCTGGACTCCAAGTTACTGGTCCAGTGTGGTGAGTTTGGTATAGCACTGCGTACCTTGTTCCAAGGTTCGTAGGCTCGAGTCTCCTTCAGCCAGAGATCAGTGTTTATATATATATATATATATATATATATATATATATATATATATATATATATATATATATATCGTACGCGTTTTATTCAATAATTACTAACTTACCCACAAACTATACATTAAAAACCAGACGACGTTTCGACCCGCCTTGAGCCATCATTGCACGACTTATTGGTTTAAAAATGGGTCGAAACATGGCTTAGTTTTGATTCCTGGTTGAGGGCCAACCCGGTGAATGACTGGCGCAATAAAGTTACCTTGTTGCAGCGGGGTCGTGACCACGGTCTGCCAGGCTACACCGTGTGGAGAAAGGCGTGTGGGCTGCCCTCTGTACCCACCTTCACACAGATGGCTACAGTCATGCATCCACAGATGGCCTACCGCTTCGCCACGCTATACAGGTCAGTACATTGACATTTCGCAACGACGTGAGGCGTCTTCTGATGTAAATGTCGATTTTCTGGCCCCAGTATTCGCACATGATCTTCCTAGAAACACACACGACGCCTTATTCCCTTCAAGGAAGGTCCCTTGGTGCCTCTGAATGGATCTTGATCCATGGAACTGATACCTCAACTTTTCACGCCCTCTTTTCCCTATTTACCCATTCCATTTGACCCCTATGGGTTTAACGCTTCCTCTTGTATATAATTACACTACTCGGGTACCTCTACACTGAAGGAGGGGTGTTGATACGCTATAGTTTTTAGCTTATACTGTTGGCTCGCCTCTGGTGAGACAGTGATAGACCGATTGATGATGAAAGTGTTTTTTTTTTTCGGGTCACCCTGCCTCGGTGGGAAATAGCCGATATGTTAATATAAAATCAAATACTCAAACGCTGCTTTTGAAGGACGGATAGAGGATCGCGCCTCCCTCGCCACTTCCTCTGGACGACCCATACAACTCCACCCCTCCACAGTGGTCTTTAATCCTCCACATAAATCACTGACATTGCAGGAGTGTGGAAGACGTGGATCTGTTTCCTGCAGGCCTTGCAGAGTCTCCAGTAGAGGGAGGCCTCATAGGCCCCACTCTAGCATGCATCATCTCACAGCAATTCCACAGCCTCAAGAGAGGTGACAGATTCTGGTACGAAAATATCGACCAACCTCAGCCATTCTCTGAGGGTAAGACAGTGCCTGTGTGTTTACCTAGTCTGGGAAAATACCTTGTAAATAGATTTTAATATGTAGCATTAGATGTAAATTACAACAGAGGTTTAGAAAGGGGTTTAGATATAGATATGTAGATATATGTGGATAGTTTTATGATAAGCTATGTGATAATTTAAGATAAAGATAACGTGACTCCAGCATCATTGAGTTTTCAGATAGATTCATACTAGCTTAGAATTTTTCATACATGGGATACATACACCGTGAGGTGTATGTATCTCTTGGTGTATACATACTGGTAATTTATTTTAATTATTGTTTAAAGAATTAAAGAATTCTTGACTTGTGGAATGTTACCTTAATGACTTTTCTGACTTTAAACCCCATTAACCAACCAACCAGTCTTTATGACCCTCGTGTAGTAGATAGACTTTAAACCCTATTAACCAACCAACCAGTCTTAATGACCCTCGTGTAGTAGATAGACTTTAAACCCCATTAACCAACCAACCAGTCTTAATGACCCTCGTGTAGTAGATAGACTTTAAACCCCATTAACCAACCAACTAGTCTTAATGACTCTCGTGTAGTAGATAGACTTTAAACCCTATTAACCAACCAACCAGTCTTTATGACCCTCGTGTAGTAGATAGACTTTAAACCCCATTAACGAACCAACCAGCCTTAATGACCCTCGTGTAGTAGATAGGCTTTAAACCCTATTAACCAACTAACCAGTCTTAATGACCCTCGTGTAGTAGATAGACTTTAAACCCTATTAACCAACCAACCAGTCTTTATGACCCTCGTGTAGTAGATAGACTTTAAACCCTATTAACCAACTAACCAGTCTTAATGACCCTCGTGTAGTAGATAGACTTTAAACCTCATTAACCAACCAACCAGTCTTAATGACCCTCGTGTAGTAGATAGACTTTAAACCCCATTAACCAACCAACCAGTCTTAATGACCCTCGTGTAGTAGATAGACTTTAAACCCCATTAACCAACCAACCAGTCTTAATGACCCTCGTGTAGTAGATAGACTTTAAACCCTATTAACCAACCACCCAGTCTTAATGACCCTCGTGTAGTAGATAGACTTTAAACCCCATTAACCAACCAACCAGTCTTAATGACCCTCGTGTAGTAGATAGACTTTAAACCCTATTAACCAACCACCCAGTCTTAATGACCCTCGTGTAGTAGATAGACTTTAAACCCCATTAACCAACCAACCAGTCTTAATGACTCTCGTGTAGTAGATAGACTTTAAACCCCATTAACCAACCAACCAGTCTTAATGACCCTCGTGTAGTAGATAGACTTTAAACCCTATTAACCAACCACCCAGTCTTAATGACCCTCGTGTAGTAGATAGACTTTAAAACCCCATTAACCAACCAACCAGTCTTAATGACTCTCGTGTAGTAGATAGACTTTAAACCCCATTAACCAACCAACCAGTCTTAATGACTCTCGTGTAGTAGATAGACTTTAAACCCCATTAACCAACCAACCAGTCTTAATGACTCTCGTGTAGTAGATAGACTTTAAACCCCATTAACCAACCAACACTCCAACCTCCAATGAAGACAATGGATACTGAAAGGAAAACATCAATTTGATGTCTTCCTGTCTACTTTCAATTCGTCGTTCCATCCATCTCTACTGTCCTAACATGGTCCTTATTTTGTGTGTTTGTGTTCTCAGGTCAACTGAACATGATAAGACGACAGAATCTGGCAGCCATAATGTGTGAGCATCTCGTACTGAGGTCTATACAGCCCAACCCATTCCTCAGCCTTGATCACCACAGGTGTGTGTGTGTGTGTGTGTGTGTGTGTGTGTGTGTGTGTGTGTGTGTGTGTACTCACCTATACATGGCTGCAAGGGTCGAGTCACAGCTCCTGTATGTGTGTGTGAACACGTATGTAATTCTGCATGGATCATAAATTGTGTTAAATGTTAATAAAATGAGTTTTATGTTAATAATAATAATAATAATAATAATAATAATAATAATAATAATAATAATAATAATAATAATAACAAAAAGGCTGCTAGAAGTGGATGTGATTTCAGCTGACAATGGTTGTCTCAGCTGACAGTGGTTGTCTCAGCTGACAGTGGTTGTCTCGGCTGACAGTGGTTGTCTCAGCTGATGCTGACTGGGGTGAATAAGCTTAGCTGACAATTTCTGGTTGTGTGTTGCAGTAACCAACCGCGACAGTGTAACTCCTATCCAAGGCTGGACACCAGAGAGTGGCGAGAACTGGAGCCTCTTCCACAGACTTCTCAACAGATTTCGCCACAGCCTGCTTTAAGGCCCACTCCACGACCAACTCCTCGGCCCACTCCACGACCCACTCCACAACCCACTCCACAACCCACTCCACAACCCACTCCACGACCCACTCCACGACCCACTCCACGACCCACTCCACGACCCACTCCACGACCTGTGTCACAAGTCCCACCACAGCCTTCCAGACGACCCCCACCACAGACTGTGCCACAGCCTCTGCCATATCCCACACCACAACCTCTACCACAGTAAGTATGGTGTGGTATGAGTGTATGGTGTGGTCAGAGTGTATGGTCTGGTCTGACTGTATGGTGTGGTCTGATTGTATGGTGTGCTCTGAGTGTATAATGTAGTCTGAGTGTATGATGTAGTCTGAGTGTATGATAGTCTTAGTGTATGGTGTGGTCTGAGTGTATGATAGTCTGAATGTATGGTGTGGTCTGAGTGTATGGTGTGGTCTGAGTGTATAGTGTGGTCTGAGTGTATGGAGTGGTCTGAGTGTATGGTGTGATCTGAGTGTATGGTGTGGTCTGAGTGTATGGTGTGGTCCCTCTTAGCTTCCTTGTCTCTCCCTGAGGGACTGACCACTTCCCACCAAGACGGAAAGACTAATCACCTTAAAACTGCTACTTTATCCAATGTTATGTTCGTCTGTATTCGACTGAAGAAGTCTGTTGTGCAGGCGAAGCGTGTCGGTACTATATAGCATTAATAATGTGATTCATGTTTGTCTCCTGCAGGGTGTCGTGTCGAGGTGTGGGAGTGTGGAGATATCTCCCAGGCATAGATCACTGGTGTACCCTTAACTGTCTCCAGCACAGTGTCTCCTTCTGCCCTCCTACACACTGCTACTGCCCCTACTACTGAAGTCTCCGTTAATGCTGTGGGTGTCCAACAGGAGCCATGACCTACCCTCTTACACACTGCTACTCCTGCTACTGAAGTCTCCGTTCCTTCCGTGAATATTCAACGGTAACCATGACCTGCCTTCCTGCACATTGCTGCTACTGCTGCTGCTACTGCTACTGTAGTCTCTGTCTCTCCTGTGGGTGTCCAACAGGCGCCATGACCTACCCTCTTACACACTGCTACTCCTGCTACTGAAGTCTCCGTTCCTTCCGTGAATATTCAACGGTAACCATGACCTGCCTTCCTGCACATTGCTGCTACTGCTGCTACTGCTGCTACTGCTACTTTAGTCTCTGTGTCTCCTGTGGGTGTCCAACAGGAGCCATGACCTGCCCTCTTACACACTGCTACTACTGCCTCTAACACCTCCCATCAACACAGCACAGTTCTTAAATCACAATCCCGCCGAAGCTTTCACAAAACAAAAGCAGGACGATCATCCATAATGTCAACAATACCACCTTCGCTGTCAAAGTAAGCATTGAGAAACCCTTCAAACGTTAATTCACTGATGCATAAGCTTCGAAAGTCGCTCTGAACATAACGAAATTGATACAATGTACTGATGTTCACTGAACATAGGCAGGACTGCCAAGGATTAAGTTACAGTGTATTAATTTACGAAGTTTGGTCGAAGTGTTAAGTTTGCATAAGTTACTTCGTAAGTATACATTTATCAATGCTAAAGAGAAGATCTGTTTAAATAGTCTAAGTCGGACCGAAACGTTGTCATAAGCTCCTGTCTCCTATATGTTGGTTATATGTGTACACCTTGGTCTGACAGACTACCTGAAACCACACGCACACACACACACACACACACACACACACACACACACACACACACACACACACACACACACACACACACACACACACACACACACATATTTCGTTCGTCAACACCTCGTCAGGCTATGTCGTCCTATATTAGAAATATATATATATATATATATATATATATATATATATATATATATATATACATATGATGTGACGCACTGATAATATTGCGTCACGAAACGTAGATACGTCCTGTTAACGCCTTCTGTTGATGTCCACCACCACCGTTTCTTTTAGGATTTCTGTGATAGTCGAATCATAATCGTCACAAGGGATTGGGAAGGGACTGAGAGGGGATTCCAATCCCATAGATTGGTACTAGGTCGTGTATCCCAGATCTCATGTTAGTTTTAGTCACGTTATATCACGTTGAGACATTGTTTTATCACGTTAAAACACGTCGAATCACGTTAAAACATGTCTTATCAAGTTAAGTCGTTTTGCTTTGTCATGTTTACGTCTCCTCGATGCTGGTGAAAGGCTCTTGATTCGAGGAACCGAAGCTGCCTTTTCCCTGTCCTCGAATCAAACCTCATCACCTCCCAGGCACTGTGCGACCCTTCAATGTTTAGCGCTTCCCCTCCTCCCCATGATTTACTCCATATTAATTGCCTCGGGAAGAGCTAAACCCTTAGGGGGAGGTCAGATCCAATCCCTTGGATCAAGAGTCCAACCCAGTCAATAAAGATTTTCATAAAAAAAATTTACGATGTTTATATCAACATTTTTCTCATGTATATACATTATGAACGATGTTTATACATTATTACTATTGTAGTGCTTTTTAAATACATTGTTTTTATATATACATTTGGTATATTTATTTTTCCCGTTTTATTGTTTTATAAATGATGAATATATATATATATATATATATATATATATATATATATATATATATATATATATATATATATATATATATATATATATATATATATATATATATATTACAGGTGTAAATTGTGATGCAGATGGTACAGGTAGCACATGTGGCACAGATGGTACAGGTGGCACAGATTATACAAGTGGCACAGATGGTACAGGTGGCGCAGGTGTCACAGATGGTACAGGTGGCACAGGTGTCACAGATGGTACAGGTAGCACAGGTGGCACAGATTATACAAGTGGCACAGATGGTACAGGTGGCACAGGTGTCACAGATGGTACAGGTACCACAGGTGGCACAGATTATACAAGTGGCACAGATGGTACAGGTGGCACAGGTGTCACAGATTGTGCAGGTGGCACAGGTGTCACAGATGGTACAGGTAGCACAGGTGGCACAGATTATACAAGTGGCACAGATGGTACAGGTGGCACAGGTGTCACAGATGGTACAGGTGGCACAGGTGTCACAGATGGTACAGGTAGCACAGGTGGCACAGATTATACAAGTGGCACAGATGGCACAGATGGTACAGGTGGCACAGGTGTCACAGATGGTACAGGTGGCACAGATGGTACAGGTAGCACAGGTGGCACAGATTATACAAGTGGCACAGATGGTACAGGTGGCACAGGTGTCACAGATGGTACAGGTGGCACAGGTGTCACAGATGGTACAGGTACCACAGGTGGCACAGATTATACAAGTGGCACAGATTATACAAGTGGCACAGATGGTACAGGTGGCACAGGTGTCACAGATGGTACAGGTGGCACAGGTGTCGCTGATGGTACAGGTAGCACAGGTGGCACAGATTATACAAGTGGCACAGATGGCACAGATGGTACAGGCGGTACAGGTGGCACATATGGTACAGGTGGCACAGGTGTCACAGATGGTACAGGTAGCACAGGTGGCAGAGATTATACAAGTGGCACAGATGGCACAGCTGGTACAGGCGGTACAGGTGGCACATATGGTACAGGTGGCACAGGTGTCACAGATGGTACAGGTAGCACAGGTGGCACAGATTATACAAGTGGCACAGTTGGTACAGGCGGTACAGGTGGCACATATGGTACAGGTGGCACAGGTGTCACAGATGGTACAGGTGGTATCAAAATCAACGAATCATTGACCAAATCTTTATTGTCCAAAGACTGACAATATTCCCCAGGTCATCTGTACAGTACTTAAAACAACGTTAATAAATAAGACACAAGAAATAAAATAATAGAAGAATGGAGAATAAATTAATTAAACACTTAACTTAAAAACATAAATGGTCGATAAAATTCAGAGGTCGAGGCCATTTATTGAATAAATTACTTACGATACGAAATAAATTATGCCATTGGTTCTTTGAATATTTTGATTTAGATTTAGAGAGAAGACGGGTTTTAGATTTAGAATTATTTTCAGTTATTTTTAAGCAATGTTGTCTTGATGCTGGGGAAGGGCTCTTGATCCAAGGAACTGGAACTTCTTCGGATAGCTATGAGCTTTGATCCGAGGAAGGGAAGCTCTGGGGGTCAAGAGCCCTTCCCTCCGGCGTTGTGTGTGTGTTTGGAGGGTATCTGGATGTTGGGGTTTGACCGAGATGAATTCACCTACGTGCGGTTGCAAGGGGTCGAGTCACAGCTCCTGGTCGTGGTGTACTCACCTATTTGTACTCACCTATGTGGCTGCAGGGGTCGAGTCGAGTATGTGACATGTGTGTGTGTGGGTGCTGTGTGTATGTGTGTGTGTGTGTTAGTTACCATTTAGTCCTAGGCACATGTCGATTAGACACTAGGCCTGTTGTATGTGCATGCATGTGTATGTGTGTATGTGTGTGTGTGTGTGTGTGTGTGTGTGTGTGTGTGTGTGTGGTGTGTGTGTGTGTGTATGTGTGGTGTGTGTGTGTGTGTGTGTGTGTGTGTGTGTGGTGTGTGTGTGTGGTGTGTGTGTGTGTGTGTGTGTGTGTGTGTGTGTGTGTGTGTGTGTGTGTGTGGTGTGTGTGTGTGGTGTGTGTGTGTGTGTGTGTGTGTGTGTGTGTGTGTGTGTGTGGTGTGTGTGTGTGTGTGTGTATGTGTGTGTGTACTCACCTATTTGTACTCACCTATTTGTGGTTGCAGGGGTCGAGTCCTAGCTCCTGGTCCCGCACCTTCGCTGATTGCTATTAGGTCCTCTCTCTCCCTGTGTGTGTGTGTGTGTGTGTGTGTGTGTGTGTGTGTGTGTGTGTGTGTGTGTTGTATGTGTGTGTGTGTGTGTGTATGTGTGTGTGTGTGGGGGGTGCTGTGTGTGTGTGTATCAGGCTCAAGATCGTGCGGTTGGGCATATTAGCGTGTGATGGGCGTGCGGTTGGGCATATTAGCGTGTGATGGGCGTGCGGTTGGGCATATTTGCGTGTGATGGGCGTGCGGTTGGGCATATTTGCGTGTGATGGGCGTGCGGTTGGGCATATTTGCGTGTGATGGGCTTGCGGTTGCGCATATTTGCGTGTGATGGGCGTGCGGTTGCGCATATTTGCGTGTGATTGGCTCATAGTCTGGCTGTGAAAGTACAGACATCTCGTAAGCGTATGGTCGTGCAATGGGCGTGAGGGCGTGCTGTAGGCGGTGTGGGCGTGTGAATAATTATCTTCCCCAGCGTAATGGTTGACCATAAGTCCTAACGGGGGCGTCACCATCGTCAGGATCCCTGGGGGCACTCCTCTGTCCCTGCGTGCGTGGTCCTGGAATAGTCTGGGGGTGCAAAGTCACCCAAAGGCTGATGGCTCTTTTCATAACCTCAGCCTTCTGATGCTGCGGGATGCCGTTTAGGGCCTCCAGATCCTCCTGACGGAGGAGGTTGCTGCGACGCATGCGGCTTAGGAGAGAGTTTCCTGATGTACTTCCGGGGAGAGAGCTCACTGAGGTACTTCCTGGGTAGAGCTTCGAAAGGTTGCTGATGCTTACTCTATCGTTCTCCTGAAGGCGTGAGCCTGGAGGCCTCGCTTCTTCGGCCTCATCAGGAGCGTATTTCCAAAGGAAGGACATGGCTGGGGAATCCTCAGGGGTAGTGCTGGGGAACAGGAGGTGGTTTCCCCAGGATGTGGCTCTGGGGTGGGGACACACGATGTTTATGACCCCAGAGAAGCACATCACAGCTGCCCACATCACTGCCAGGGACATCCTTCTCCACCTGTGAGTGAGAGACAAGGAAGTGTAAAATTAACCCAATGAAAAGCAGGGGCACGGTGGACACAATACGAGAACACTATATCAACATCCGTGAACCAAGCCTCTCCATCTTGCTACCAGAAGATGTCAGAAATACTCCTACAGAAAACAAACACAATATCACAGAAAAACAAGCACACGCAGTAACAAGCACAAGTTAACACAATAACATCCTGCTAAGTTAACATTAACCTTGGTGATAAATGGCTCTTCATCCAGAAGAAAAAGAGCAATCCTCTCCTTTCTCGAATCAAACTTAATTGCCTCCCATTTCCCAGGTTTGTGTCTCCTGACACCACAAGTGTCAGGAAACACTCGTTTCCTGACAAACAAAACGCTGCAGATGATGCTGTGAGGCACAAACACTGCATCATCTGCAAATATATCACCTTCTCCCACCTCCTGCCCACCTCTAGAGCACGTCTCTCTCTCTCTCACTATATCTATCTATCTGTCTATCTATCTGTCTATCTATCTATCTGTCTATCTATCTGTCTATCTATCTATCTATCTATTTATCTATCTATTCGCCTATCTATCTAGCTATCTGTCTATCTACCTCTCTATCTATATCTCCCTCTCAGCACACATCCAAGGTTATACAAACGAAAGATGTATATCTTCCAGTGTATATAAACTGAGAGTGTATATACTACTGAGAGTGTATATACTACTGAGAGTGTATATACACTGAGAGTGTAAATGCACTGAGAGTGTATATATTACGCCTATTGTAGGTCTTAGAATATCCTTGACTGGTGGTGAAGAGGTGAGGTGCAGCCTTAGGAAATCACTGGTTTGGTAATAGAGTTGTGGATGAGTGGAACAAACTCCCGAGTACGGTCATAGAAGCTAAAACGTTGTGTAGTTTTAAAAATAGGTTGGATAAATACGTGAGTGGGTGTGGGTGGGTGTGAGTTGGACTTGACTAGCTTGTGCTACTAGGTCTGATGCCATGCTCCTCCCTTAAGTGACGTGACTGACCTGACTAGGTCAAGGCATTGGCTTAAGCCAGTGGGAGAATTGAACCTGCCTAGCATAGGCCAGTAGGCATGCTGCAGTGTTCCTTCTTTCTTATGTTCTTTGTGACCCTCGTGTAGTAGATAGGTTTTAAACCCAATAAACCGACTAAGCAAATCAACACTCAATCCCGCATGTTTTTGTCTGTGTCCTCATATACTCATATGTACTCTTATGTACTCTCGTGTTCTCCCATGTACTCCCAAATATTCTTTTGTACTCTCGTGTACTCCCAAATATTCCTATGCACTTTCATGTACTCCTAAATATTATCATGTACTCTCGTGTACTCCCATGTACTCTCATGTACTGAATCACCTGATCTTTCCTCAGAAATCAAGAATTAAGCAACACAGATGTAAACACACAAAGATTGGCTAATTCTCGTAAGACTGTAGCGTCCAGCAGTCTATTGGAAATTCTTCAGCTGGACTTTTCCAGGTGTATACAAGGGGACTTTTGGACTTAGAGGTCACGCCCCTTACACGGGCGTCGCGTCAGCGTGAAAAATTGAGATTGAAAGTTGTTGATGCATAGAAGGTTAGAGCTGAGAAAATTTATGGAGGAGGAATATATGTGTGTGTGTGTGTGTGTGTGTGTGTGTGTGTGTGTGTGTGTGTGTGTGTGTGTGTGTGTGTGTGTGTGTGTGTGTGTGTGTGTGTGTGTGTGTGTGTACTCACCTATTTGTGGTTGCAGGGGTCGAGTCTTAGCTCCTGGCCCCGCCTCTTCACCGGTTGCTACTGGGCCCTCCCTCTCCCCGCTCCATGAGCTTTATCAAACCTCGTCTTAAAACTGTGTATGGTTCCTGCCTCCACTACGTCATTTTCTAGGCTATTCCACTGCCTTACAACTCTATGACTGAAGAAATACTTCCTAATATCTCTCTGACTCATTTGTGTCTTCAACTTCCAATTGTGGCCTCTTGTTTCTGTGTCCCCTCCCTGGAACATCCTGTCCTTGTCCACCTTGTCTATTCCACGCAGTATTTTATATGTCGTTATCATGTCTCCCCTGACCCTCCTGTCCTCCAGTGTCGTCAGGCCGATTTCCCTCAACCTTTCTTCGTAGGACAATCCCCTTAGCTCTGGGACTAGTCTTGTTGCAAACCTTTGCACCTTCTCTAATTTCTTGACGTGTGCGTGTGTGTGTGTGTTTTAGAGAGAGATAGTCAGACAGATAGACAGAAAGAGATGGGGTAAATATTTTTGTTATTGGGTGTGGGTTTGAGAAAGACGTGCCTAGTATGGGCCAGTATGCCTACTGCAGTGTTCCTCCATTCTTATGTTCTTATGGTCTCTCTCTCTCTCTCTCTCTCTCTCTCTCTCTCTCTCTCTCTCTCTCTCTCTCTCTCTCTCTCTCTCTCTCTCAGATAGCATCAGCAGTAGAAGTGAAAGTAAACTCAGTGTACCATCAACTCACCTCACAGTAGACCAAGGGATCTTGACCTGACTTGTGTAACATCTTGCAAGACATGACCTGGGAGGAGCCTGGCTTTGGACGTGACCCAACCTCCCTTCTCTGTGACCTTTAAATACCTGTTTCATACCTGTACTCTACTGGAGCTTGTACCTGCAATCTTATCACAGAGTTTGTACGCACACACACAATATATATATATATACATATATATATATATATATATATATATATATATATATATATATATATATATATATATATATATATATATATATATATATACATACATATATATATATATATATATATATATATATATATATATATATATATATATATATATATATATATATATATATATATATATATATATATATATATATACCTATAGTTTCCTGTGTAATTGAGAAGGTGGAAGCAGCGATAAGGAATAATAAGAAATGAATCTGAGAAACAAACGAGAAGAAAAGAAAAGGAGGAGGAGGAGGAGCTGGTGGGAAGGTCAGGTCGAGGAAGGTGAGGTGAGGTAATGGAACTTACATTAGATTGGGTGATCAGTCCCCATCCCGCGGTAGTGAAGCAAGAGACGAGTCGCTACTGAACACCTGTCAAGTTTGAGGGACTGAACACCTTCTATCATGTTTGAGGGAGTGAACACCTTCTATCATGTTTGAGGGAGTGAACACCTTCTATCAAGTTTGAGGGACTGAACACCTTCTATCATGTTTGAGGGACTGAACACCTTCTATCATGTTTGAGGGACTGAACACCTTCTATCATGTTTGAGGGACTGAACACCTTCTATCATATTTGAGGGACTGAACACCTTCTATCATGTTTGAGGGACTGAACACCTTCTATCATGTTTGTGGGACTGAACACCTATCAAGTTTGAGGGACTGAACATCTTCTATCATATTTGAGGGAGTGAACACCTTCTATCAAGTTTGAGGGACTGAACACCTTCTATCATGTTTGAGGGAGTGAACACCTTCTATCATGTTTGAGGGAGTGAACACCTTCTATCAAGTTTGAGGGACTGAACACCTTCTATCAAGTTTGAGGGACTGAACACCTTCTATCATATTTGAGGGAGTGAACACCTTCTATCAAGTTTGAGGGACTGAACACCTTCTATCATGTTTGAGGGAGTGAACACCTTCTATCATGTTTGAGGGACTGAACACCTTCTATCATATTTGAGGGACTGAACACCTTCTATCATGTTTGAGGGACTGAACACCTTCTATCATGTTTGAGGGGCTGAACACCTTCTATCATGTTTGTGGGACTGAACACCTTCTATCAAGTTTGAGGGACTGAACACCTTCTATCAAGTTTGAGGGACTGAACACCTTCTGTCAAGTTTGAGGGACTGAACACCTTCTATCATGTTTGAGGGACTGAACACCTTCTATCAAGTTTGAGGGGCTGAATACCTTCTATCAAGTTTGAGGGACTGAACACCTATCATGTTTGAGGGACTGAACACCTTCTATCAAGTTTGAGGGTCTGAACACCTTCTATCAAGTTTGAGGGACTGAACACCTATCAAGTTCGAGTGACTGAACACCTTCTATCAAGTTTGAGGGACTGAACACCTTCTATCAAGTTTGAGGGTCTGAACACATTCTATCAAGTTTGAGGAACTGAACACCTATCAAGTTCGAGTGACTGAACACCTATCAAGTTTGAGGGTCTGAACACCTTCTATCAAGTTTGAGGGACTGAACACCTATCAAGTTCGAGTGACTGAACACCTTCTATCAAGTTTGAGGGACTGAACACCTTCTATCAAGTTTGAGGGTCTGAACACCTTCTATCAAGCTTGAGGGACTGAACACCTTCTATATTTTTGCCAAAATTAGTCATGGATATGACATTTTCTGTGATTTGGTCAAAATAGACCGTCCAGTCAACTGACGGTGTCACTCCTAATCACCTGAGAGGTGGAGAAGGTGCAAGAGGCTTCTCGTTATGTATAACAGGAACATCCACTGGCAAGACTGTCAGAGACTGGAAGATATCCAAAACTGGATCATCCCATCATGGGAGGCTGACACAAGAATAATCCTGGAGTCTTGAAGTGTGGGCTCCAAGACCTTGTGGTTCTTGGTTAAGGACCGGCAAGGTTAGTCACCTGATGAAATAATTCCACCAGCAAATCAACAGGATAGAACTGTTTACATCGGCAAACAAGAAAAAAATTGACACACTTGTTGCACATTTTCCTGACAGGAAATCACTCCCTGATTACGTAGGGAACTTCTGGTGGTAGTCGACAAAATTGCTAGTGATGTCGGAGGTGACAATAAAGCAGGATAATGTATATCTCCTTAAATCCCTGGCCCAAGAAAAGACTATAGGCTCAAAAAAGGTGAGCCCAAGATTGCTGATTAGATGTGTGGATCAGCTAGCATCACCTTGAACTCGCATCTATCAACTGTGTTTAACACGGCTCTCCTTGTGCAACAAATACATTTTCTGTTCACAAAATAAGAAGAGCAGTGTCGTAATCAGCATGTACAGTCCAGTGTCACTCCTGTCCATCACTGGAACTGTTTTCTGGAACTGTGGTTCCAGAAAACGTCGATCGGCAGCTAATCTCACTAAACCTCTTCACTATGTGGCACCAGTCACTGGATGAATCTAAAATCACTTGGGTAAGAGTACCGGACATCACTCTAGACAAAAGAACAGATGCTCCTATCCTGACTAGTCTGACTTGGGTAAGAAAAACAAGTTTTCGAAAGAGGTGGGGAGAGAAGCCGACCAAGAAACTGCTGATGGAATACTTCGCGGAATTTACAGTCGACTTTCTCGGTGCTGAACACCCACCTCCAAGGCCGCTACCTGCAAGAACAGAAGCTCGCAGAAATGATGAATAAACTTGACTTCACATCCCTCCAAACTAAGGTAAGATGTAATCACAATATACAAAATACTGAGACACCAACATTGAAGGCATGATTTCACAGAAGCAGTAATCCAGCATAGATATACTTTGCGCAGCTCAGTTAAAGATAAACTGTAAGCTGTCCGCCACATATATAAAATCGATCACCACACGGTGTTCAGAGATCACCACACGGTGTTCAGAGATCACCACACGGTGTTCAGAGATCACCACACGGTGTTCAGAGATCACCACACGGTGTTCAAGGACCGCCACTCGATGCTCAAGGACCACCATCTTAGACCAGGCTTTCAGCTAACAGCCGAAGTACCCTGGTTGGATCTAAAGACGGACTGATACGTTGGGCATAATTCCATACATCTGCGACCCATGTTTTCCTATCACTTACTAAAGTAATGATGGCTTTAAAATGAGCTGAGTCGGACGGAAAAAGAGCTCTTAAACTGTAACTGCATTAGTGTTTAAAAGCTTTAAGATAATAATTTTGATTTCACGAGAGATATTTCTAGGCTTAAAGCTCACCTGCAATAACTGTCAATCAGACGAAGATGATGGCAGCAGGTGTAGCTCTAGACGGGCTTTATCTGCAAAGTCTGCAATAATTCCCAGGCTTCTGAGGGAGATCGAGGAGCGTCCCAGGGTGGACCTACTCTCACCACCGCTGCTATCCAACTGGTGAAGAGCCTCGCTGTTGACGCGGCTTTTATACCTTCCTCCTAGAGCGTGGGCTGACCAATCACCGGCTGCCACGTTACACTAGCCCTCCGAAGGTGGAGTCGAAGATTTCTAAGACAATTTTAAGGATGATTATAATAATTATTATATTATAATTAACAGACTTTTGGAAACCCCTGACAAGACAGTGATGGAGTGAGTGATGGTGTGTGTCTTTTTTTTTGCGGGGGGAGGGGTCACTTTACCTCAGTGGGAGACGGCCGTTGGGTAAAAAATCTATATCTATCTATCTATCTATCTCTCCATGTCTGTTTATGTCTATTTTGTCTATCTGCCTAACCATCTGTCTATCTATCTATTTAGCTATCTATATATCTGTTCATTGCTATCTTTATCTATTTGCCTGTCTAACCATCTAGCTATCTTTCAATATCTCTATCTTTATCTATCTATATGTCTATATTGTCTAACTTTATCTGTCTATCTATCTATCTATCTAACCATCTATCTATTACTTTGCAATCTATATAATCATCTATCTATATATCTGTCTACAGGCTACTGATCTCTCTGTCTATCTATCTATCTATCTATCTATCTACCTATCTCTCTATCTATCTATCTGTCTACCTATGTAAGGAAGGTAAAACACAAAGGTTGATCAAACAGGAAGCAAGGAGGACAACAGGAACTTCCGTTACACCAACAGAGATCAAACTTCCGTTGCGGGTTGCTGTGTCTAGCAGTTGCGAAAAGCTCTTGATCCAGGGAACTGGAGCTATCCTCGGATCAAACCTGAAGAACCCTAATGATTTCAGCGTATCGAGTTGTATATAATAATAACAGTAATAATAATAATAATAATAATAATAATAATAATAATAATAATAATAATAATAATAATAATAATAATAATAATCTAGGAGGGGTGGAGGTATTTGCAGTTTTTGTAGTGTAGTATAGACACGCCTCTGGCAAGACAGTGATGGAGTGAGTGATGGTAAAAGAATTTCTTCTTTTTTTTGGGGTTACCCTGCCTGGGTGGGAGACAGCCTCGTTGTTGGAAAAATAGATGAATGCAAATCATTTATGTTTCTAAACTATGTGATGGAGAGAGACAGAGAGACAGAGAGACAGAGAGACAGAGAGACAGAGAGACAGAGAGACAGAGAGAGTAAACATACACTGCAGCAGACACAGCAGCTGAGTCAAGGTATTTATGATTTATTGCCGAGGATGTAGGTAAGAGGGAGGGAGGGAGGGAGAGAAGGAGGGGGGAGGGAGAGAAGGAGGGGGGAGGGAGTGTTAGAAAGTGAGAAAAGAAAGAACAGAAGGAATGTTAGAGAGAGAAACAGAGAGTTAGAAAGATAGTTGTAAATTTGCATGATAGGAAATGGTGTGTGTGTGTACTCACCTATTTGTTGTTGCAGGGGTCGAGTCTTAGCTCCTGGCCCCGCCTCTTCACCGGTTGCTACTGGGTCCTCTCTCTCCCCGCTCCATGAGCTTTATCAAACCTCGTCTTAAAACTGTGTATGGTTCCTGCCTCCACTACGTCATTTTCTAGGCTATTCCACTGCCTTACAACTCTATGTGTGTGTGTGTGTGTGTGTGTGTGTGTTCCCCTACTTGTAGTTGCAGAGGTCGATTCACAGCTCCTGGCCCCGCCTCTTCACTACTAAGCCCACTCTCTCCCTGCTCCATGAGATTTATCGTATCTCTTCCTAAAGCTATGTAAGGATCCTGTGTGTGTGTCATTACCTATTCGTGCACGCGAGGGTTGAGTCCCATAAACACAAGACTAGACCCAATACTCAAGTCCTCCCATTCTCCCATATTAACCCACATAAACACTCATTCAACTACGTCCTCTCTGATTCCATTCCACTCACCTACCAATCAATTTTGCTGAGAAACAATGCCCAATCTACCTTCCAATCAACTCTCCACGTCAAGAATCACAATGATTCGTTCTATTAATGTCATCAAATATTCCCAGTATTTTCGTTTTCTCCACAAAGGTCGATACACAATAGAAGTAACCTATAGAAGAAATACAGTCACCATTGTTTACTCAATACCCTTCTTGGGTGAAGTGCTGAGGATATCACAGTTCAGATGACCCTCTGACCTACTCCACCTACGGGTTTATCCCTTTCAAATAGATGCAATACTACTACTACTACTAATAATAATAATAATCAATCAATCAGCCTTAATTACCCTTGCGCAGTAGATAGACTTTGAACACGTCAATAGGTTCCTAGCCAGTGACTATACACCTGGCTCCTAGTTCCTGCACCTGCTGTACCACCTATGTCACCTGATAATGGACCCGGCCGGGGGGGGCGTTGACCCCCGAACACCCTCCAGGTATAGACCGAGGTGTCTCCTCATATTTAGGTTGTGTCTGAGATTCCTACGTACATCTGGTCCACCGTACGTACTTACCGGCAATAATTGTAGGTATACAAACTACGGTATACATTATATGTGTAAACAACGTTTCACCCAGTTGGGAGAAACGTGTAGCTGCAGGGTTTTGAACCTGGTTAAGGGATCTTGACGAAAGGAGATTGCAGGTATATACTCCAGAAGCTGTATAATTGGAGGTATAATCTCCAGAACTTGTATAATTGGAGGTATACTCTCCAGAAGCTGTATAATTGGAGGTATACTCTCCAGAAGCTGTATAATTGGAGGTATAATCTCCAGAACTTGTATAATTGGTGGTATACTCTCCAGAAGCTGTATAATTGGAGGTATAATCTCCAGAACTTGTATAATTGGTGGTATACTCTCCAGAAGCTGTATAATTGGAGGTATAATCTCCAGAACTTGTATAATTGGAGGTATACTCTCCAGAAGCTGTATAATAGAAGGTATAATCTCCAGAACTTGTATAATTGGAGGTATACTCTCCAGAAGCTGTATAATTGGAGGTATAATCTCCAGAACTTGTATAATTGGAGGTATACTCTCCAGAAGCTGTATAATTGGAGAGTATAATCTCCAGAACTTGTATAATTGGAGGTATACTCTCCAGAAGCTGTATAATTGGAGGTATACTCTCCAGAACTTGTATAATTGGAGGTATACTCTCCAGAAGCTGTATAATTGGAGGTATAATCTCCAGAACTTGTATAATTGGAGGTATACTCTCCAGAAGCTGTATAATTGGAGGTATACTCTCCAGAACTTGTATAATTGGAGGTATACTCTCCAGAAGCTGTATAATTGGAGATATGATCTCCAGAACTTGTATAATTGGAGATATACTCTCCAGAAGCTGTATAATTGGAGGTATAATCTCTAGAACTTGTATAATTGGAGGTATACTCTCCAGAAGCTGTATAATTGGAGGTATAATCTCCAGAACTTGTATAATTGGAGGTATACTCTCCAGAAGCTGTATAATTGGAGGTATAATCTCCAGAACTTGTATAATTGGAGGTATACTCTCCAGAAGCTGTATAATTGGAGATATGATCTCCAGAACTTGTATAATTGGAGATATACTCTCCAGAAGCTGTATAATTGGAGGTATAATCTCCAGAACTTGTATAATTGGTGGTATACTCTCCAGAAGCTGTATAATTGGAGGTATAATCTCCAGAACTTGTATAATTGGAGGTATACTCTCCAGAAGCTGTATAATTGGAGGTATAATCTCCAGAACTTGTATAATTGGAGGTATACTCTCCAGAATCTGTATAATTGGAGGTATAATCTCCAGAACTTGTATAATTGGTGGTATACTCTCCAGAAGCTGTATAATTGGAGGTATACTCTCCAGAAGCTGTATAATTGGAGGTATAATCTCCAGAACTTGTATAATTGGTGGTATACTCTCCAGAAGCTGTATAATTGGAGGTATACTCTCCAGAAGCTGTATAATTGGAGGTATAATCTCCAGAACTTGTATAATTGGAGGTATAATCTCCAGAACTTGTATAATTGGTGGTATACTCTCCAGAAGCTGTATAATTGGAGGTATACTCTCCAGAAGCTGTATAATTGGAGGTATACTCTCCAGAAGCTGTATAATTGGAGGTATAATACACTCCAGAATTTGTATAATTAGTTATACAACCACTACATTGCTAATACACCTCGTAGTGTATCATTACAAGGAATTAGTTGAGAGATAATACTGAAAAGTAATTTACCAAGATTAACAAAAAAAATCCAGTGTAGTATCGGAAATGTAATCTATAATTTTTTCATTCTCTCCCAAGTACCGTTCTTATCACCTCGTTTCTCTCCCCCTCATTCGTGTTTCTCTGGGGCGAAAAGTGTCGCTGCTTCCCGGAAACGTTGTTTTACGTGTGGGAAAAGAATATTAGCAGACTTTTCCCAGAATTAGAGAGAGAGAGAGAGAGAGAGAGAGAGTATATATATATATATATATATATATATATATATATATATATATATATATATATATATATATATATATATATATATATATATATATATATATATATATATATATATATATATATATATATATATATATATATATATATATATATATATATATATATATATATATATATATATATATATATATATATATATATATTATATATATATATATATATATATATATATATATATATATATATATATATATATATATTATATATATATATATATATATATATATATATATATAATATATATATTCGTTATAAGTCTGGGTAGGATTGGCGTTAATATTTGTAGCCTCAGACAGGACAGGTGAGGTGACGGTAAATCCTTTTTAAAAGCCACTTGGTGGACGCGGATTAACTTGGCTTCGTGGGGAGGCTTACAACCAATTAAGCCACAAGTGGTTGACTGGGGCATCTTGGTAGAGACGGTGGTGGGTTGGTGTTGATGAGTTGGTGGAGGTGGGTTGGTGGAGTGGGTTGGTGTAGGTGGGTTGGTGTAGGTGGGTTGGTGTAGGTGGGTTGGTACAGGTGGATTGGTGTAGGTGGATTGGTGTTGGTG